CTAGGTGATAGTAGCTCACGCCTGTAATCCTCACTACTCTAGAGGCTGAGATCTGAGGATCATGGTTCAAAGCCAGCCAGAGCAGAAAAGTCTGTAAGATTCTTATCTCCACTAAAACTACAAACAAAAGGCAGAGCTAGCCTTGAGCAAAAGCAGCTCAGGGACAGCAGTGCCCAAGTCCTGAGTTCAAGACCCACATGGTCACCAAAAAGAAGGGGGCTGGAGATAAAACTGTTACTGTAGCTAAGTGGACAGGGGCTTTAGAATTCAAAACTTAGTACCACCAAAAAAAAAGATAAAAAAGATCCATACATTTCTCTCTGTGTGTGTGTGTGTGTGTGTGTGTGTGTGTGTGTGTGTGTGTGTGTGTGTATAATTTTTATTTTATTTTAATTTTTGCCAGTCCTGGGGCTTGAACTCAGGGCCTGGACAGAGCCACTTCTGACTTTTTCTGTTTATGTAGTATTGAGGAATTGACCCCAGGGCTTTGTGCATGCTAGGCAAGCACTCTACTACTAAGCCACATTCCCAGTCCTCTAGATATATCTTAATTTTAAAACAAAACAAACAACAACAAAAAAAAAAAAACCAGACCTTGTAAGAAGAAACATCCCGGGTCGGCGGGGGTTGTGGAAGCATATAGTCAGGAAAGGCTACAATGAGGAGGCAGCATTGGCATTGAGCCTTCTAGAGTGGGTATGATCTGGGTGGGAATGCTCTGAAATCAGAGACCAGACTGAAGAAACTTGGGAAATGCTTAGGGTAAGAGATTGCTTAGCTGAATCACTGGTGCTTCCTCAAAGCCAAGAGGGGAAAGGTTGCGGGGGAGTGAGGACCAGAATAAGCATTTGGGAAGGGAGGTGCTCCCAAAGATTGGTTGAGGGCCAAATCCTTGGAGTTGGGGTATGTGTGCTCCTTGGAGCAAGCAGCAAGGTGCAGGGGGGGGGGGGGGGGGGGGGGATGGGGCAGGCATAATCGGCACCTAGCCCACTGCTAGGCACACAGAAAAGACTCAGTAAATGATTTTCAAAGAAATGAAATATAAATAAAGGAACTGCTAACAGGTCTCAGTCTAAGTGATGGCTTGGAGCTACCCCCTTCCCCCCAGAGGACCCAGGGCTGGCTCTGCTCAGCCTGCAGAGAAGCCCAGCACCGTCCTGGAGTGCTGAATTTGTACACATTCTATCACGCAGCTCAAGTCGCCCGGGGGGCGCCATATAACTTTATTGTAAGCTCATGCAATAACACAGGCAAATGGAACAACAATGTAAAGTTGGCTTTAATTAAAACGAAGGGTGTTTGCCTCCCCCGCCTGCTTTTTCCTCCCAAGCCCCAGCAGCCTGCTGAGCAGTGCTAAGCAGTGCTGGAGCAGTCAGAAGAATGTTTCCAAAGCGGGAGGCAGTCTCCCCACCCACCCTTGAGGAGGCTCACATCATTCTAGGAGCCTCCCTCTCTCCCCACCCTCCTTCACACTCCCCTCTTATGTGATCCACATGGCAGCAGGGTTCCAAGAGGGAAAGCTTGGGGTGGTGATGCCCTTCTGAGAGGCACCAGGAAAGAAGGTGGTGTTGACAGCCAATGTGGAGATGCTTGAGGCTTCCAGCTCCAGAGTTCTTGTCCACGCAGCCACCCTACGTGTGCTTCCTCCGCTGCCCAGGCTGGAGATTGCACTGCGAGGCCCGTCCCCAAAAGGACTCACTATCTGGCAGAAAGGCATCAGTACAAAAGAGATATCCACCAAAGAAACAGTGATCAGTCCCTAAGTCCTGACATCTATCCTGACATCTGGAGGGGTGGAGGGGAGAGGATAAAAAGTTGCTCCTATGTTTGTGACTTTAGCTAAGTATCACTATCTCACAATACTGTGAAATTCATGTAACCACATAATCTCAATAAAGAAAAACAATTTAAGTTGATCCTAAGAGGTGGGGAGAAGGCTCACACATGGAAGGGCCAGGAGAAATGGCACTGCATTAGACACCTTATGTACTTCTTACCCCATATCTGCCTGTGCTATGCTGATAAAGCTTTAACCACAGGAAGCAGTCAAGTCTAGGGGACAGGAGGAACCCTGATTTGTAGCACTGGCCAGTTCCTATGGTATAAATTCTCCCATCATTGCGAAGCTCCCAAGGTGATATTCCTGAAAAGTTAACAACTTGATTCCAACACAACTCTTGTTGGCTGTCTGAGATGGTCTGGCCTAGCCAAGAAGAACTCTGAACACTAACATCTCAGCCCAGGGTTTGCTTCCAACAAATACTCAAAGAACTTCTTCCTGCTAAACTATGTGCCAAGAGGTCTCAAATTCACTAATAATAATAGGGTACAATTATAGCTAACACCTATGGAAGGATGTGTTATATGCCAAGTTCTCATCTAAAGCTTTTTTACAGATCAGCAAATTTTAATCCTCACAGTCCATGAAGCAGATCCTACTTTCATCCCCATTTTTCAGATGAGAAAACTGAGGCTGAGAAAGGGTAACTTTCATGCCCATAATCACACAGCTAGTCAGAAGCATCAGCAAGTAGAGGTTGTCAGTGCATGCCATCCCTTCCTGCCCTCAACTCCTATGTGTCTCCAGTCGGGTGATTGAGGCACTATCCATCAGAGCACTTATGAAAAAAATCACTGCACTTTAGATATGGCAGTGACAGAGCCTTTCATATCCTGCCCCAGTGCCATAGGGTTAGGTGACCAGGTAGTAGTGTTTTTACAAAAAGTGCCCCCAGAGTTTGATGACACCTTGTTCATGAGGTCTCCCCCAGAACCTGGGAACTGCCTAACATTCTGTAATAAATTCCTACCCTTCTTTATCTACTCATAATAGATCCTGTTGTGTGAACTTAGGAACCCCGCTGAGGGGAGTCATCAGGGCTTACACTTGGGCATTTGGCTCCAGAACTCACTTCCACAATGACACATGTCCTCTTTCACACAACTCTGCAAATGGGATTCGATTCCTGCCATTTCAAAAATGAGGAACTTAAGTCAAAAAGAAATCTTGGCTGGGCACATTGGTGTATACCTGTAATCCCTAGAGAATTGGCGGCAGAAGGATCATGAGTTTGCAGGTCACCCTGGGCTACACAGTGAGACTCAAAACGAAAAACCCAAACCAGCCTGTAACAGTGGCTCAAGACGGTAATGCTAGGCATGTGGGAGACAGAGACTATGGGATTGTAGTTCGAGACAAGCTCAAGCATAAAAAAATGAAAAAGAAAAAGAAGTCTGAGCTGGCCACTGGTGACATACCTGTAATCCTAGCTACTCAGGAGTCTGAGATCTGAAGGATCAAGGTTCAAGGCTAGCCTGAACTGAAAATCTATGAGTTTCTGTCTCCAAAATAATCAGCAAGAAGGCAGACTACAAGTCATGGCTCAAGTGCTAGAGTGCCAGCCAAGCAAGCAAGCCAAGCAAGCAAAAGGCCCTAAAATCAAAACACTATAACTTGGGGCTGGGAAGGTGGCTCAGCAGTAGAGTGCTTGCTTCGCATGCATGAAGCCCTGGGTTTGATTCCTCAGCACCACATAAACAGAAAAGGCCGGAAGTGGCGCTGTGCCTTAAGTGGTAGAGTGCTAGCCTTGAGCTGAAGAGCTCAGGGGCAGTGCCCAGGCCTATAGTTCAAGCCCATGACCACCAAAAACGAAAAGGAAAAAAAAAAAAGACTGGACGGAAGATGGCTCAGTGGTAGAGTGCTTGCCTTGCATGCATGAGGCCCTGGGTTCGATTCCTCAGCGCCACATAAGCAGAAAAAGTTGGAAGTGGCACTGTGGCTCAAGTGGTAAAGTGCTAGTATTGAGCTGAGGAGCTGAGGAACAGTGTCAAGGCCCAGAGTTCAGGCCTCATGCCTGCTAATCACAGGAACATAAGGAAGAAGTAGTAGGAGGGTCAAAACAGGCTAGCCCCAAGCAAAAAGTGAGACTACCTCAAAAGTAACTAAGGCAAAGGGGGTCAGAGGTATAGCTCAAGTGGTAGTACTAAGCAGGCTTAGCAAAATCTGAGTTTAATCTCCAGAACAGAGAGAGAGGGAGAGAGAGAGAGGAGAGAGAGAAGCAGACAGAAGGGGAGGAGGGCGAGGGAGAGAGAGGTCCAGCTAGCTGCCTGAGAGTATATTCTAAATTGAACTAAGAAACTTGCTGTTCACTGGTTTTTTAGCCTAGAAAGGGTTTATAGTTTTTAGCCTTCAAGGGGCTTGACAGAGTAGAAAGAAGATTCTGGTCTAGATTTGTCTGACTCCAAAACTTAGGCTGCTTTCCCTACCTCTATTTTCTCACCATCAAACTGTTTCATGGAACCTAGTAAAGAAGTTCACCTTCCAGAGAAACTTGAAGCCAGGACAGATGGAGACAGAAGACCTGTAACATCAGTCTGACTGTAGAGCTTTTTTTTTGTTTTTTTGGCCTTACCTGGGGCTCACCTGAGCTCACCACTTTGGGGGAGGGCTTTGTCCCTGACTTCCCTGCAGTTTGCCATGGATCCCAGTGTGGGTGGCACTGGAGGAGAGGTAGCTCCAGATGACAAGAATGAGAGCTCCTTAAGCTGACTGTGTGCTGAAGGAAGAACAGCAGGACAAGACCTTAGGAGCGATATCCTGGGTGAGTGGAGAGATGTGGCAGCACAGAGGGGAACAGGCACAGCCCCACAGAGGCACGGAGGCTACAGGAAGAGACACCTGCACAGCCTCCTTGGTGTGTTGCAGTACGTAGGGGGGAATGATGGGGACTACATGAAGAGAAAGGCTGAGATGGTGATTCCCTCGTTTATTCGCATTCCCCAGCCCCACTGTGTGGGTAAGGCTAGCTGTGAGTCACACAGACCCAGTCCTGTCCATGCAGGCCTTGGGAACCAGCAGACAATCCATGGGCTCAGCAAGTAATGGCTCAGAAAATTCATTCATTGCCATTCAGCTCTATGCTTGTGAACATGGAGTTCTGGCAGTCTGGAGAACAACCCTGGTAGAATGTATTTGAAGAGCTGGGTTTCATTCTCAGAACCAGGAGAAGGAATCTAATAACCAGTTCTGTGTTTTCCTTGAAGTTCACTCCAGGGGTAAAAGGAGGATGGATTTGAGGAAACAAGAATGGAGGAGAGCTATTGGAAAACTGCTAGAATAATTCAAAGGAGCAGGGACACTTGCCTGAATGGATGTGGGGGCAGGGAAGGACAGATGTGGACTGTTCCTAAGGGATTCCCAAGCTCACTTGACTCAGTGGAGATTCACAGAGCAAGTGTTAGGGTCCTCTGTTCCCTCCTCTGTAATCTGAGGCTCTAACAGGCCCTTCCTCCACAAGGCTGGTGAGGCATATAGGAACAGTCTGCCATGGTGAAAACTGGCTATGCTCCGGCAGAACCAGGCAGATCTGGGAGCACAACGGGAGTCCACTGTGGCTGTGGATATGTGGAGCGGAAGAAATCTGTGGGTCTCCTAATGATGTGAATAGACTACAGAACCTCAGGAGAACCGTCAAGAGGATGATGGGGGCTCAGGAGTGCCGATGGCACTCACTGCTGCAAAACAGGAAGGGGATATCCCAGGAAAGAGGATGCAGCTGAGCAGGAGGCCTTGCTGGGCTTGTGTGCCAGGCTAGGGCACTGTGGTTTGCTCCTGGATCTGGGGAAGAATACTGAGAATGACAGTGGCTTTGGCAGTGCCCTGAAGATGCAGAACAATTCATCCTGACTGACCCCAAAGATAGTGGCCTTTCCCTGCTTCCTGGGGGAAGCCAGGCCTGAGTCAGCTACTCTAGGCCCTGAACCTGTCCGAGCCTTCAGACCCAGGCTTAGGCTGCTAAGCCCTAGCTTGTGCTGATAAATCCCTTCTAATGGGGAGATCAACCTCTCAATACTGCCACTGCTTGAGAGGGAGAGAGAGAAAAAGACATCCAGGACAGCGGGAAGCAGGCTGGACACAGGCCCAGAAAGGCCTGAGAGGGTGGGCATTCATTCCAGCACCATGAGCTCTCACAGGCCTCTCTGGCTTGTCACCACCCACTCCAACAGCTGCAGAGTCTCCCAGCTTCCTGGCTTAGCAAAGCCACACTTTGAAGGTCCATGGAGAGATAGAGAGTACAACAAATGAAGAGAGACTCTGCTCTCTGGGAGCCTGGGCCAAACAGAATTACATCAAAGGATCTCCTTAGTCCTAGGAAATGCAGTGGCTCCTGCTCCTACCTCAAAGAGCACTTGCTCTTCCTTCTGCTTTGAATTCTTTATCTAAATATGATCTTCTCAGGGATACAGACCCCAATAGTCTGTCTAAAATTGCAGTTCCAGTCCAGAAGCACTGCTCTGAGCTTTTCCCTCCTTGCCTTCCTATGTAATATAGTCACCCTCATTGTGCTTCAGACCTAGGCTTGGGCCTGGTCTGTCCACCTCTCCCAGTGCTCAAGCAGGCCTGGGTCATCCTCTAGAAAAGACCCCTTCTTCCCCTGAAGGAAGACTTCCAAAGGTGCCAGGAGAACCCAGAAGCCACATTCAAATGGTCCTAGGCACCTTCATTCTAAACATAAGGCTGAGTCACCACTCCCTGCACCCAGGTGGCTAGGGAAGGGGAGGGTAAGCAGGAGCCTTTGTTGCGAACCTACTGCTCCCCACCTTCTACCTGCCAGACACCCTCTGATCCATCTTTACAACAACCTCCAGGGTTGCCTCTTCTGAGAAGCCCTCCTCCTCCTCCACAGCACCCCCCCCCAACCTTGGTGCATCCCAGGGAAACCCACCACTTCCTCACTGGGGCACCTTGAGCCCTGTCCAGTCATCATGCCCTGAAAAAAGTATCTAAGGTGCTCACGCCCTGGGCACTCCACAGTGAGGTCATCTAAATGCAAGGACAAAGGCACACTCTGACCAAATGCCACTCTCGTCCCTTCCCTGTGTCTACTTCTGCCTGACTCTCTGTAGCCCTTGTACCTAGCTATTATGGAACTGGTACAGAATAGAGAAAAGATTGTTAACCACTATACCCAACTGCCTGGCCACCAGCACACTTCTTGGAGACCTCCAGGCCTGCCTCCACCTGCCACTAGAACATTCATGCCCAGTGCATGTCACTCACTCCTGCACCTACAACCACATCTGACGCATTGTGAGCACTTGGCTGCGTTAGTTGAAGGGAGGAAGAAAACCAAGGGAAGGAAGAAAGGAGGAAGCATCCAGTCCTGACACCATTTATCTGTGTCTACTTAAAGTCACTCTTTAACCTTTCTGGGTCTGAATTCCTAAAGTGACTCATTCCAGTGACTTCATGAATCTAACACCAGCTTCACCTGGAATCTCATTAGCAATGCAGAACCCCAGGCTAACACCAGAGCCACTGAGTCCAAATCTGCAGTTCAACAAGATCTTCAGGTGCTGGCTGGCACTTGAACATTGAGAAACACAGCTCGGAGACCCTCAGGTAATGCCAGCCCCGCTGACCTCCCAAGACAGCAGAGTGTCCAAGGAGATGACTCATGTGAAGATGTTTTGAATTCTGGAACACACTGGGCCGAGGAGCTGGACTGCTATGATTATTCTTATGATTAATAATAGTCCTTGCAGAAAAAAAAATACTTTATAGTTCTGTTTCTAAAACATCATTAAATTCTGTTCAAATATACCATTAAAAGTGACGTTCTAGTCTGCTGAATTTTGTAAACCCCAAGCCTTTTAAACAGATCCTGGACTGGGCTTGAGGACAGGAACACGGGCCCTAGCTTGCCATGGTCGCCATGGGTCTGATTGAATGCAAATTTATTTCCCACAACTCCCTGCCAACCGATTGATCCCCGGGACCAAGGAGATGTGGGGAAGTCAATCCCTCAGAGAGAGGAAAAACTAAGTAGAGGCAGAGAGTGGAAAAAAGACAAGCATGGGGTTTCATGCTGGTTTGCGGAGTTGTACTGCATGCCTGTAATCTTCTGCCTTTCAGCCCTTGCCAAACCATGTGAAAGGAAAAAAAGAGGAGCAGAACAGAGGGAACAGGCGCTGGTGGGGATTACCTCAGCCACAGGCTGGGCCGTGAGAGAAGCCTTACATGGAGCAACCACACACAGCTGCAAGGCAGTGGAGGCGTTTGATGCTAGGCCTGCAGGCAGGCCTGCAGTCCATAGCCAGGCCAATGGCCCCAGCCTTTGGCCCCAAGACAAATGCTCAGAGTGAGTTAAGAAGAAGCATCTTGGACTTGAGGTTGGGGCCAGAGAACATGAGAACCATGACTGAATATGGTAGAGACTGATAACCAGCCAGAATTGTTGAGAAAAGCAATCAATATGAAGTGTCTGAGATGGCGTGCTTCTCTCTGCCTCTGCTTAGGCAGGTTTACGTGTTTTGCCATGCTGGTTACCCCAAGGCTGCCTCAACTAACAAGAGACAAGCAGTGAAAACCCCTAAAAAGAACTCTTTTGCTATATACTTTGTTTCCCCAGTCCTGACTAATGTCCCTAACACTTTTTTCGCACACAGCTAGTGCGCTATTGCTTGAACCAGAGCTCCACTTCCAAATTTTGTATGATTAATTGGAGATAAGAGTCTCACTGACTTTCCTGCCCAGGCTGGCTTCAAACCACAATCCTCCTGAGTAGCTAGGATTACTGATGTCTGGCTAAACGAGGGACTCTTACAGACTCCAAGCCTGTGGCCCCAGCTATAAACTCCCAGGCACAAATCTTCTAGCCTCTGCCTGGCTCAGCTTGCCCCCTGCCAGTGTGCCCCCCACAACCCAGATCTCCCTAACTGTAGCACTCGGGTTATTCATATCACTTAACATCCATTCTCTGAGTCGGTTTATCATCAGGGACTCCCCACACTATCATTCAATCAGACCCTGTCTGAGTTCCAGAGACCAGGAAGGGACACTGACCTGGAGGACACCCCAGACTAGAGGCGAGATGAGATAGATCGAGGTAAAACAAGGGGAAAGCATAGACCTAGGGGCCATGGAGGAAGCCGTCTAGGGGAGGCACACCTGTGAGGCGACCTGAAGGACCTACAGGCTTCACCCCCAATAAAGAGGGAGCCCCAACTTCACAAGTGAGCAGAGAAGTACAAGTGAAGAAATGAAGAAGTACTCTGCCCCTGGGGCACTGCACATGTAGAAACTGAACAGCAAAGACTTGGTAAAACTTGAACCCATGTGCATCTCTGCAGTTTAATCAGGAAGATGAAAGGAAATGAAAGCCATCCCAGTCTATGAGCCGTGGGTGATGGGTGCAATCCTTCACTCGGATCTATCTAATATGGACAGATCATTACACCATGTCCAGTGAGAAAAAAAGGAAGATCAGAAATAGAAGGCATTCTAAAGGAAAATGACAGTTATGTACTTTTAAAATATATATAAAAGCCGGGTACCAGTGGCTCACACCTGTAATCCTAGCTACTCGGGAGGCTCAGACCTGAGGATGATGGTTCAAAGCCAGCTGGGTCAGGAAAGCCTGTGAGACTCTTATCTCCAGTGAACCAGCAAAAAGCCAGAAGGGGAGCTGTGGCTCCAGTGGTAGAGCATTGTCTTGAGTAGATAATAATAAGGAATGGTGCCCAGGCACTGAATTCAAGCCCTACTACTAGCATAACAACAATAACAATAACAACCCCCCCCCCCCCGCCCCTCATTAGAACTACAGGCTTGTGGAATGTCCAGCAGACTTGACCTGCCTGCCCTCCCCCTCCGTGACAGAAAAGTCACCCCAGACTTCACAGTCTACAAAGCCCTCCCACAACAGCCAGGGAAAAGGTGTGGCAAGTGTTAGCATCATACAGAGGTGCTCACTGAGGCTCAGGGACCTTGTACTTTTCACATCACAGGCATACAGCCTTCTTTCCAGAAAGCTACAAGACCCAAAAGAAGTCTTGTCAGCATTGAGCTGAATTAAGTAACACGTGTCAACTTTAATTGTACTAATTATATTTAAATCAATTTGCATTATGCTCTGTTGAATCCACTCATTCATTGAGAAAATGGTTTTTTAAAGTGTCTACTGCCTGTCAGCATGTGCCAGATGTGGAGAATACAGCTGTGTACAAGAC